TAGCTGTGGCTGAGGTGCTTACTACGCGGTCCCACCGCCCACTTTGAATGGGGAGACGCGTATGTACGACCTGCTGTGTGTGCTCTCAGAGGCTGCTCTCAGCCTTGAGCTCTCTCTCCCCGCCCCACTCAGCCCTCAGCCACGCGATGGGTTGACGTACATTGTTCAAGTCACAGGTTCCCTCTTCCCTGTGGTGTCACGAGCTGCCACTCGTCTGATAAAAAGTCCTTCTCTCTCCTGGGCATCGATGCAATAATACCCGACTTTGGTTTCCTGCATGTCTGATCAGAGATCTTCTTCTTCCTCTCTCTCGAATAGACACCAACGAAACTTCTGTACATCCCCACACGCGCGCACACACATACAGAGATAAGAAGAAAGAAGAAGCGTATATACTACGACATAAAACGCAACGTATACAGAGGGGGAGGGGAACAGATATCAGGAGAGAGAAAACACACATAGGAGGAGAAAGAACAGGCAGGAGGGGAGAGAAGACTGTGCAAATAGAAGGGAAAGAGGAGAGAAGAAAAAAAAAAAAGACAAGCTATGCTCGACGAAAACCTGCCGACGTACCGGTTCCGTCCGTCGTCGGACAAACCGCTCCACACGCTCCTATCCTTCACGCACAACGGTTCCGAGCCAACAGTCGACATGGTCATGCGACGCCCCGGCGTGCCCGAATGCCACAACAAGTACGCCATAGGTCTCTTCGATATGAAGTACTCTGCCGTGCTGTACGGTGAGGTGCTGGTGGAGCCCGAGTGGACGCAGCCGTCGCTGTCGGCGGCCGAGGTGCGGGCCCACGGCGGCGGCGGCGGCGGCGGCGGCGGGGGTGCTCCCGGACCGGCGGCGACGCCGCAGATGCCCCCCCAGTTCTCCATATTGCTGTACAACCCGGACCAGACCGTGGTGGTCAGGCACCACCAGGGAAGCTGGGGCAACAGGGACTCGTGGGAGTTCGAGGTGCCCGAGCGCAGCTTCCGCGCGCCGAGCGCCAGCCAGATCGACCGCGAGGATCCGGGCCCGCAGGCGTCCGAGCTGGTGCCCCGCGTCAACCTCAGGTGGAGGAGGGACGGGCGCGTCAGCAGGGACATGACCTGCTACATGTCCGGGCGGACGGTCGGGTCCAGGAAGAGCAAGGAGCCCGACATCACCCTGGCCCTCTTCAAGGCGGGCAGGACCGAGTCCGCCCTGAGCATCTACGAGCCCAACATGCGGAGGGTCGACGTCGAGGACCGCAAGGGTCTGGAGTCCATACTTCTCCTCTCGGCCGAGGTGATCCGCGACCTGTTCCTCGTACCCAGGAACGACCCCTTCAATACTGCCGGTGCGCCGCCACCTCCGTCGTCGTCGAGGATGACATCTGGCAGACCTCCTCCCCCCCCGCTGGCCATCACGACGACGACCGCGACGAACGCGACGAACGCGACGAACGCGACCACCACAGACACAGCCGCAGCAGCGGCGGCGGCGGCGGCGGCGGCGGCGGCCGTGCCTTCCGTCCAGCAACCGAAGCCGCTGTCCAAGCCTGCGGGCGACGACGCCCGCGTCCGTCGCGAACAGGAAGAGATCAAGAAGATGCTGGAGCGCGAGCAGCGCGAAGAGGCCGAACGCCAGAGACGCGAGAGGGAGGAGCGCGAGAGGCGCGTGGAGAGGGAGACGGAAGAGCTGCGCAGGCAGTACGGCACGCAGGTCGACCAGCTGCCACAGCTCCCGCCGCGACCCGTGTCGAGCAATCACCATCGTCCTAGCGCCAGCACCGGCGGCGGCGGAGCAGTCATGAGCGGCGGTGCCGGCGGGGGAGCTCTCTTGCCTCCTCATCAACCTCCCAGACCGCAGAGCGTGGGACCGTCGTCGTCGTCCTCGCCGCATCACCATCACCAGTACGGCAGCGGGGCGAGGAAGAAGCTGAACAGCCTGCTGCAGCCCGTCTCCGGGGCGTCACCGTACGGGTCCGTCGGGCCTAGCCTGTCCGGCTTCTTCGGCGGGGGCAGCGGTAGTGTTGCGGCGAGGGTGGAGGAGGAGAAGAGGCGGAAGGCTAAGAAGAAGGGCAGTGTGCACTTCTGAATCTGTCCGATACCAATGCAATATATTTACATCTATGCGGCATATACTAGATATATATATATATATAAATACAATGACACTAAATACGTAAGAACAAGAGAGACGGGGTTTTTTTTTCTTTTCTTTGCTTGTGGTTCAACTCATTGTCCTATTGTCCATTGTTTGTCCCGCAAGAGCAATGAATGGGATGGACGGATGGGCAGGAGGATCACTGGTTGGGTTGGGTTGGGTTGATACTTGTGCGTACGTGTGTCGAAAAGTTCACAGCCGGCCGGCCTCCCCTATTCTCCAAGAGAAGATGTTGCGAGGGCCGTTGGACACGACAGGCGAGTCGAGTCATATATGTACTATATAGATGCGACTGTCCTTGCCAAGTACAAAACTACAGAGACGGTGTAGGATCAGAGCAGAGTCGAGTCTAGACCGTCTCCCGCTTCAGATGATTGATGACCATATACCGACTGAGGACGATCCAGCCGTAGCGAAACCACCTCATCTGGCTGGCGTGAGCCTCGGTCATGGCCTTCCAGGCCGTAGGGAGGGCGGCGTCACCGTCCGGTCCGACCAGCTTGTTGACGAACAGCAGGTTGTCACGGTGGCCATCGCCTGCGCCTGCTCCAGAGTCTGCGCCGCGAAGCAGCAGCAATCCCGAGGTAAAGATGTCGAGGAGGGAAGAGTACTTGCGCGCGAAGCCCACAGACGTGAGGGTATACAGGTCGACGGGGCACGTGCAGCCGGCGGCGGTGCTGTCGTCTGTGAGGGCGGCGAGGAAGGCGCGGGCCCCGTGATACAGGGACGTGTGGTTCGGGTGGGAGGATATGCCCTCGCCGTCAAAAGTGATGAGGACGTCGACGTTCGTCCGGGGCTGGGTGGCGCCCCCCGCGGTCCGACGTCCGCCGGCGATGTGCGGTGCCAGACTCTGCGATAGGATGTCGACGATCTTGGTCTCGGGCCATCTGGCCGTCATTGAGTCGGGAAGTTCCCTTTTGTTGTGCGTGTATGTGCGTGTGTGCGCGCGTGTGAGTTAGAAACATGGGTGTAATATATGGTTTTGTTTAGAAAGGGGAGAGAGAGAGGGAGAGAGAAGACATACGGATCGTCAAGGACAACGATGTCGTCCTCGTCACGTAGACCGAGACGTATTCCGCTCTTCTTGAGCTCTTTCCTGCGTGTTTCGCCCAGTCCGTCGGCGTCACCTACACATTTCCCCCTCCCCCCCCTCCCCCTCTTTCTCATCAGCCTTTTTTTTTCAACAGTTTCTTCTTGAGAAGGGGAGTTGTGACCGTCCCGTACCGGTGCTCAGGCACAGTATCTTGACGTGGTTACCCGTGTCGGGTCGCGTGAGGGCCAGGACAGTGGGCGCGAAGAACATGGCCTCGTCATCTGGGTGTGCGATCAGGAGACAGATGCGCTTGTTGCGAAGCATCGGTACAGACGACCGCATCGTCCTGGATAGGTACACGTATAGACGTGAGAGGAGGACGGCCAAGACCAGCGTGGTCAGAGCAGCAACCTGTAGACCCATGTTTTCCCGACTTACTTCGAGTACGTTTGGAGTCGAAGTAAGGAGGGGGGGGGGGGAACTGTTGCTTGGGAGCAGCTGAGCGGTACTCGCAGTATTGCTATTATAATTCATTGCCTTGGGGGTATTACTAAGTAGTAAATAGTAATAATATGAGGTGGAAGCTGCATGCACTCAAACGCACAGCAGATTGCTTACGTACATACCGAGTACATTGATTGTATTGAACAACTTTTGACATACCCTATAATGATTTTGTCGCGTGTTCTCTTTTTTTTTTCTCCCCATGTCTTTCCAACCTCAGAGGTTGGGATTGAATAATCGGTATATATATATATATATATATATATATATATATATTCATTTATTTACCTCGCTCTCTCCTCCTTCTTCCGAAACTCCCCTCCTCCACCTATTTCTAGACATGGCACGAAAACGTGAGCTCAGAGCAAAGGACATCAAGCTCCAGCAACCCGACCGATCCGGCCCAACGGGCAAGACCCTTCTAGATTTGGCCCAGGAGCGATCGCTATTCGCCCAGGCCGACGAGGCGCAACGACGGCAACGACAAGGTCGAGAACAACGGCCCCCCTCAGCAGCGACAACCAAGATCCATCCAGATGACAGTGAAGAGGCAGTCCTATCACCCGGTGCCGAACGGTTCCTGGAAACTCTTCTGTGGACCGTCAGCCTGGCCATGATGCACTTTACCTTTGACGTGCTCGTGCATCACCAGTTTGGACGGGAGATGGGCTGGATGGATATATGTGTTCGAACGTCTAGGGCCTGGATCGGTAGGTTTCTTGACATTTCTCTTCCATCAGTTTTTTTTTTTTTTTTAAAAAAAAAAACACATGGCAAAGATGGAAAGACGAGTTAGGAGGAGAGAAAGAGAAGAAGGAAAAAAAGAACAATGAAAGAAATGATGAGAGAAGAAGAAAGGAAGGGTAAAGAATGAAAATGCTGACGAAAGAGACAAAAAACAGTCTTCCTCCTCCTCTTCTGGCCTCTACATCCGCACCACGCCAACGACGAGAGACTCCTCCCGGCGCGACTCGTACCGTCCAAGAAGCAGGACGGCCTGATCCGCCACTGCATCTTCTTCGCCGCCGGCACCGCGTGCGGCTGCTACCTCGTCTACATCACCAATACGTTTGGGTACCTGGCCGTCATGAAGCAGGCCCCTCCGCTGGGATGCATCTGGGTCTGGTCCATCATCGAGATGGATCTGGTCTGGGCCGTGACCAGCCTGGGCCTCACCGCAGCATATCTCTGGCAGGGAGGCTACTCCGTATATTAGATATCGGCAAGGGGGTGGAGGCTATTTGCTGGAGGAATTGCCATGGCCTATTCCGTACAGGTGCCTCGAATGCGAAGAGAATAGGAGAACAGACTCGAGTCATTTGCATGATGCAAGATACATGTAACTACGCTGCAGACTAGCCGCCACTCTCATCTCCCTATGGACTTTCATACATTTCCAACTCAAAAGTATTCATCCGCAGAGCATAATTTCTTCACTTGCTTGTTGTGGAACGCGAAAAGTGCGAAACGTAAAGAAAATCATGTCATGGAATTATCATGAAGCTTGACTCTATATTCTTACAGCGAATAGTAATTATAAGAAAGAAATGCTTGACTCGCAATCATCAAAGAAAGGTCATCATCACCCCGTCACTACCGACGCCAATCCCACAAGAAAACGAGCGCCGAAAGTATAAATGAATATACCATGGCCGGGGGGGAGAGTTGTTTCTCATGCAAAAAGAAAAAGGCATGACTCGGCATAAAAGAAAAAAAAATATGGGGAATAAGACGATGAATAATCAACGCCGCGCAATGTCTCTATGCCAACCCAGATTTGTTGCTGTATCATTTTTTTTTGGTTGTTTTTGTTTTTCTGTTGATCTGTGTTCTCTTTTTCTTCGTCTGTCATTCCACAACTTGCATTACCACCAGATGAGAAGGATAAGGAAATGAAAAATTATAGGGAGAAGGGGGGGAGGAGAGGAGGAAGTTGTGTGCGTGCGTGCGCGTGCGCGTACGCTTGTGGAAGTAGAGAGAGTTTCTTGAGAAAGAAATTCAGAAACTCTCTACTCCTGAGCAGACTCGGCAGACTCGGTGGCTCCAGAGTGGCCGGGGACGTGGATGCTACCGGGGGGGATCTTGGAGGAACCGATGGGGTTGATGCGGTCCATGTACATCTGGTCAATCTCCTCGAGGGAGCGATCCTTGGACTCGATGACGCAGAAGAAGACGATGAAGAAGAGGGCACCGCAGCAGACGGCAAAGACGAGACCGTAGAAGTAGTCGATGGCGTCGGTGATGAAGCGGGTGAAGAAGGAGATGAGGCTGTGTGAGGTGACGGTTAGTAAATACGTCCATACATGTCATGAGAGAGAGTGAGAGAGGGTGCGTGGGAAGGAAGGTAGGCGTGTGTGTGGGTGTTGTGTATGTGTGTGTGGAGAAGACGTACAAGTTGAACAGCCAGTTGGAGGCGGTGGCGAGACCCATGGCGGTGGAACGGTAACGGAGAGGGTAGAGCTCGGCGTTGACGGCCCAGACGAGGGGACCCCAGGAGACGGCAAAGGCGGCGATGGCGAGGCAGGAGAAGGTGACGAGGGCGGAGCCGGCCTTGGGGGTGCTCTCCGGGTCGTCAACGTCGAGGGCGTAGTGGCCGACGAAGGCGTAGACGAAGAAGCAGCCCATCATCCAGAGGGCGCCGACCATGAGGACGATGCGGCGGCCGAAGCGCTGGACGATCCACATGCCGGCGATGGTGCAGACGACGTTGACGGAGCCGAGGATGAGCTGGGTGGTGTACGAGTTCTCGATGCCGGTGGACTGGAGGACGGTGGTGCCGAAGTAGAAGAAGAAGTTGGCGCCGGTGAGCTGCTGTCCGGCCTGGAGGACGATGCCGAGAATGGTGCGGTAGAACATGCGGGGGCCGGTGAAGATCTCGATGAAGCGGAATCCGGCGAGGCTGGCCTTCTCCTCGGCCACCTTGGCCTCGAGCTCGTCGATCTGGGTCTGGACGACGATGTGGTCCTCGGGCAGGCCGCAGAGCCTGGAGATGTCGGTGCGGGCCTGGGCCGTGTTGCCGCGCGAGTAGGCGTAGCGGGGGGACTCGGGCAGGAACAGGATGGTGACGCCCAGGGCCAGGGCCCAGGCGAAGGAGAGGCCGTTGGGGATCCTCCAGGAGCCGCTGTCGCTCATGCCCTCGGTGCCCCAGTTGACCATCTCGGCCGTCCAGATGCCGAGGGTGATGAGGAGCTGGTAGGACGAGACGACGATGCCGCGGATGATGGCCGGGACCGACTCGGACTGGTACATGGGCACGACGACGGAGAGGGCGCCGATGCTGAGACCGGTGACCAGGCGGCCGACGGCGAACTGGGCCCACGTGTCCGAGGACGAGATCTCGATGACGGTGCCGACGCAGGTGAAGAGGGCGGTGACGGAGATGGAGAGCCGGCGACCGATGACGTCGGCCAGCTTACCGGCGATGAGGGCGCCGATCAGGGCGCCGATGGGCATGAGACCGACGATGGTACCCTGGCGGGCGGCCGAGAACTCGTAGGTGCCGTCGTCGGCGAGGACGCCGAAGCGCCTGCCGAAGTCGTCCATGAGGAAGAAGCCGGAGACCTGACCGGAGACGTAACCGAAGATGAAGCCACCGACACTAGCCGTGGCACCGAGGAGGCAGGCCAGCAGGGTGACCTTTTGCTGGGAGGCGAGATCCTGAGCATTGTTGACGGCGTTATTCTTGCTCTCGGCCGTGACGGCCTCGGGATGGTGACCGTCCTCTTCCTTTGTTGCTGCCGCCATTGTGCAGGTATCCGGTGGATGTTTTCCCAAGGGTAAGGTGATGTGTGTGTGTGTTGTGTATATGTGTATATGTATGTGATGTGTGTGTAAGTGGTGTGTGAGGTGTGAGTGTGTATGATGGAGAGAGAAGAGTGAAGAAGGAGAGGAAAAAAAAAGAAAGGATATGGGGGAGGATAAAAAGGTTTATAAGTGTGGAGATGGGGTAAGGAGAAGGAAGGGAAGGAAAAGGAGGAGGGAGGCAAACGAGGAGAGAGATCGGGGGAGGGGAATGAGAGGATGCGAATTATGGAGTAACAGTAACAGAAGCACTAGAAAATGACAAGGTCACGATCCGCAATAGATGGGGAGGTAGCGAGAGAGAGAGAGAGAAAAAAAAAGAAGAAAAAAAAGTCGAATTGGTCAGGAGGTCACTTTCCTCGTACCAGACATGGAAAGAGTAGAAGAGAGCAATGCGGAATAGAGGGTCACGACAATCCCGAGCCTAGTTGTTTTCGGTGGTACCTCGCTCGCACCGAAGGTGGGAGGGGGGGGGGGGTCATTACCGTACCGGCACTAGGTACAAGGACCGACCCCAAGGACCCTAGGTACATGTCTTTTTTCTTCTTCTTATTTGTTTTCNCCCCCCCCCCCCCCATCCGCGACACGGGCCTTTTTTTTTTCCTGCCCTTCCTGTCTTGACGGCCAGCCGTGGGACGCCGGTAAGATGACGTGGAGTGACGGCCCTATTCGGTGAGCGAAATACGTTGAGACGGAGAGGGAGAGAGAGGACCGACATCAGGCCGGGACCCCATTCTGCGTCGTATACCGTGAGCCCTGTGAGCCCCATAAGCCCCATGATGAGCCCCATGATGAGCCCATGATGAGCCCCATGATGAGCCCCATGGGCCAAGATTAATTCATCATCAATTCTTCGGTACTACTCCGACTTTCTCCTCCTCCGCCTCCGCTCGCCCTCCTCTCCATCCTTCTCCTCCCCCATCCTGTTGCTTCCCCTGGGGCTGCTACTTCCCCTGAGGGTTGCTGGTGCTGGTGCTGGTGCTGGTGTCGTCGTCGTCATCGTCGTCGTCGTCGTCGTCATCGTCGGGGTTAGGGTTGGGGTTTGGGGTTTGGGGTTTGGGGTTCTGGGGCTTTCTCTGCCTTCCAGCGATATTCTCTCTCCACACCCCTCCGCTTCATGGCTGTGTCGCAGAGGCCCTCGTCTCCGCACTCGCACGTGGCGCCATCACGGAGCCATCGATAGGTGATGCTCCATCGCGTCCCTCGCGGCCTCACTGCGCCGTCGGCCAGCACGTCCGTCTTGCGCTTCCTGATGGCGTGTGTCCAGTGAAGTCTGGCGTCCCCGCGCATCTGCATCAGGCTCCGCGGCGGCAGGTCGACGTCGACCGTCCTCCTCTGGGCCGCCGCCGCCACGCCGGCCCGCCCGCCCTCGCGGAACTGCATCACCACCGGCGCCCCCAGCGAGAGCGCGTACAGCTGGTCAAAGGCGCTGTGCGTGTCGACGTGCGGTGGTATCCCCGAACCGGGGGGGTAGTGCTGCAGGCAGACCTGATCTGGCGCCCGCGCCTCGCCCGACGGCAGCAGCCGTTCCAGCCAACCGGGTAACGGCTTGTAGGCCACGTCGGCGTCGATGGCAAACGTCTTGTAGCTGAAGGTGTAGCCCCAGTGCAGTGACCGACGTCCACCCGTCCGCTCTGGGGGCCAATTCAGCTCGTGTTCAAACATGTGGAGCAGCTGTGCCTCGTGTTCCGGTGTCACGAAATCCCTGTGTATCAATATTCCAGAGGGGGAGATTGCCAATTCTTCCATGGTCGTGAGCCTCTCTTCTCTTTTCTCTCTATGTGGTTTGGGTCTTGGGTGGGTTTCGCTCTTTTTTTTTCCCGCCCCCCCTCTCTTCCTCCTTGACAGATGTGACGATGTGAGCCGGTTGTGGCGGTTAAACCGGATCGGCAGCTGATAGCGATCTTCCCCGATGCCGTCGGGGGCTCGAGCAGAAAGAGAGAGGTAGAGTGAGAGCGAGACACGGGGAGACACGGAGGGAATGACAATGAAAATCTTCGATCGCCCGGGGGGGGGGGGGGGGGGGGGGTCATTACCGTACCGGCACTAGGTACAAGGACCGACCCCAAGGACCCTAGGTACATGTCTTTTTTCTTCTTCTTATTTGTTTTCAAGAGAAAGATTTATATTAATTTTTTTTTTCGGTCTGGAAAGGGTCTGGCACTTTACTTTGCGAGTATTCCTTCCCCTAGAGGTTTGGCTCTTCGGCTCCAATTCCTTACCGTAGCGGCTCTACATTATACATACACACACACATATATATTATATATATATATATATACATTATATATATGTGATATTCTGTATGACGAGAGGGCCATCTATATATCACTACGCATACGAGCAGTAGTCCTCATGCAGAGTACGAGTACTAGATAGAGCTGGCTTGCTAGTGACTATCGACAGTAGCAAATCAGGAGACCGGGAGAAAGATTGAGAAAAATACGGAATAAAATGAAGAGGGAAGGAAGTGAAGAGAAGGAAGTCTGTACTCCGTATGGAGTAACTACGTAAGGTATCCAGTCTGCAGCGTGGAGTGCGTATCCTTCTCCCCCGAGGTTCCCGCCTCCAGTCCCCGCGAATCTGGAGGAAACGAGGAGAAGAGGAGGAGTGGATGCATGGCCACGCGATGACCGAACAGGTAAAAGAAGAACAACAGGCCACTATATGCAGCAGGGGGGAGGGAAGGGGGGGGGGGGGGGGGGGGGGGGGGGGGTGGAAGGAGAGAGGGGAGGAAGAAAAAAAAAAAAAATCTCCCCCGGCGCGGGGGGGGGGGGGGGGGGGGGGTGGAAGGATTGTAGCTTGTGTCTCTGTGCCTCTGTGCCTGCCTATACGCCCTGTATCTTGTAATACCGGTCCTGAGTCCACTGATGCATGTTTTGGTGTGGGATTTTTTGGCAGGTAATGCCACTGTCCACTGTCCACGGAACACGGGACACGGGAGAACACGCCATACCTGAGGTGCTACTACAGGTTCTGCTACAGGTACTACTACAGGTACTGTTACAGGTAGCAATACTGCTACAGGTACTACTACAGTCCGCGCTACGGTGCACTACAGGCAACAAATGCCATCACTGCAGGTACTGCTACAAGTGCTACTACAGATACAGGTAGTAAAGTGGTGCGACGCATTTTCCCCAGTCAGACCCGGCCCGAAAAGAAAGATGCGTTCTCCCAGATCCAAAGTCTCCATATTCTTATTACTCCGTATTTGCTCCGTACTAAAAATTACTCCGGACTCCGCAATATCTGCACGTCGTAAGTTGATGCTGCGTAATGACGATATTGTATTAGTAGCAGCAGCAGCAGCAGCAGCAGCAGCAGTAGTAGTAGTGAGGAGTAGTGGCAGTACATGTACGTGCACTCCGTAGCAGTAGCAGTAGTAGCAGTAGTGACGTGAATGTAGCAGTACTCCGTACTTGTAGTATGCTGAATAGTGACGTGACAGCATCATCACGATGGTCTTTATTTTTGCTTCTTTCTTTCTCCTTGTTTACCCACGAGTATAGTAACAGTAGTAGTAGTAGTAGTAGTAGCAGTACGGAGTACAATCCATTCCATCTAGACCCATGCATTCAAATCCCGCACTTGCATCACCATGTCTGACAACATGCAGCTCCGCTACCAAATCGTACCATCTCTCACCATGGCGTCGCCCACCCTATACACCGCGCTTCCCGCGGCCTCTTCCATCCCGTCTCGTAAACTGACGGTCAACGCGCAAAGCAGGTAGGACAATGAATCTCGCTTCTGTCTGATCAGAACGTCATGCCCTGGTTCTTTGAGGAAGACAGAGAAGGAGGATAGGAAGAGAAAGTCTTTTTTTGTCTGTTCTCTGTACAAGCTTTGACAGTTCTTCCCGTACGAGCTCTAGCATCATAACTCAAATCCAAATTCAACGTCAACATGCCCTAATGGCTTACACGCAAAACATGTCTCGGGGAACAGTAAAAAATCAAAACAAGAAAAACCTTCGAAAGAAGATAGGCACAGATCCGAGGTCGACCGGCAAGATGCTCAATTGAGGATAGATGACAACCAGTAGTAGTGATATGGTATGCAGATCCGATATTCCTTCCCATCGAGTAGATATGCTGCCCGCCATGTCGCGGCCGTCTACTACGAGGTCACCACCGCCCGCCTATGATCTGGCCACGGCGTTGGATGTCCGTGTCCGTGAGCCGGACACTGCTCCTCCTCCGTACACGGCCTTTCCCGATCCAGCCTTGCCGCCGGTTAGGCAGCCCTCGTCCGCCGACCGGTCGGCCTTGCACCGGTCGGCCTTGCACAGATGCTCGTGCACATGTCCGCACAGAAGTAACCGGGCGGGATCGTCGACTCGGCATTCTGCCACTCACAGCAGCCGCTTGGATATCATCACATCAGCTCAGCCGCCTTCAGCCCGTTCGAACGATAGCAGCTTCAGTAGTCATATCGTGAACAGCAACAGCAGCGACAGCAGCAGCAGCAGCAGCAGAAGGATCATCTCAGACTCCAGTTCCAGCAGCAACGATCAGGTCTCGTCGGAGGATGCGCCGCCGTCGCCGAACCAGCCGCTCCTCTTCCCCCGCCGCCCCATCTTCGTCAGCTACCGCAGCCCTCGACGGTCGTACATCTACGGGCCCGAGTCCACGTCGCCCATGTACGCGCTGAGGGCTCCCCGTCCGATCGCAAGCCACCACCACCACACGCTCTACTCCGGCCCGACCGAGGCCTCCGCCCCCCTGGCGACGGTAGGCCGGGTGGGCGAGCACCGTCGGCCGCTGGTGAGGGTTTACCGGCCGTCGAGTGCCCACCCTGGCGGGACGAGCGTGGCCATGACGAGCGGTCGGCGCGGTCGGCGCTTCCGCGTGAGCCTGGACCGCGACGACGGGACCGTCGAGCAGTTCGAGTGGCGCAACTCCAGGGGTCCCGAGGCCTGCAGCCTGTGCGGCGGTAGGGGCCAGCAGAGCCTCGTGGCCGGTTGGAAGCTCGCCCGCATGGCTGAGCCGGCCACGCCGCGGTCCGGCACCGCCCGGCGCCCCGTCGGCTACACGAGCGATGGTAGGGAGGTCGTCGCCGCCGGGGCGCTGGTCTACGGCGATCGGAATCCGCGCTTCGCCTTCATGGGCAGCGGGGCTACCGGCCGGTTTGGCGAGACGTTCGAGATCGTGACCCTCATGGGGTTTCTGGAGCTGTATTATAATGCTATCAGCGCGAGCATATAGCTGTGCTCTCGTGGCTTTTCTCACTCTCATTCCCTCTTCACTACGGAGTAGACATACGGATAATGCAGCTTTGTCTTCAATTCTCCCCAAGTCATCGCTTCTTCACTACTCACAGGTAGTACTTATATGAACACTGACACATCACATTGTGATCAACTCCCCCCTCAAACTCTTTAATCTTATTGTGATTCACCGAGATTGATCCCCATCTGAACCACCCAGTCAGTTCAACTTGTGTGAGCAAGTCCTGGGACCTGTTTGACAAAAAAAAAATGCTATGAGTATATATATATGCGTATATGCCATCCAGGATATCAAACTCTTGTAAAGAAAAAAAAATTCGTAAAAAAAAAAAGGTCCAAAACCCATTACAGCATGACAAGAACAATAATTAAAAGACAAGGAGGGCTTCGTCACATCACTTCCTTCCACGTGCTGGTTCGGCAAACCTAATCCTCAAACCAGACGGGTTCCTATCCCCTTCGTCGTCATCGTCGTCGTCGTCGCTCTCGGCCGCAGCACCACCCATCCCCAGAGCTGCCTCGCGCCTCCTCCTCTCGGCCGGCGTCTCGTCATTATCATCTTCGCCGTCACCCTGCTCGGCCATGACGGCCAGTCTCCTTCTGCGCTCGGCGGCCGTCTCGCCAGTCTGGGTGGACGGCGTGGCGGACTGCTGCTTTGACGTTGCCGTCGTTCCCGCCGTCGAGGTACCTGCAGCAGCAGCACCTGTGTAGGACGACGACGAGGAGGAGCCTACGTTTTCGCTGCTGGGCTTCTCCGTCACGACCTGCGGGGTGAGCTGCTGCTGAGAGGATAGTTGCTGGTCCTTCTCCGTCTTGGCGACGGCCACGGAGGCCGCGTCGCGTGCCTTGGGCGAACCGTTCTTCATCTGCTCGGCCACCACCTGTCGACGCGTCGTGGCGTCCAGCTTCTGCATCTCGTTGATGAAGTCGGTCTTGGTCATGCGGCGGCCCTGGTTGGCAATCGTGAAGCGGATCTTGTCGTCGTCGTCGTCGGCTGGGCAGTCGTCCTGTCCGTCCCCGGCTGCGCGCGACCCGCCCGCTAGCCAGTTGGCCCAACCCGTCGCCGTGCGCTGTACGGGTTTGGAGGCCGGAGGCTCGCCGGCACCGCTGCTGCCGCTTTCGCCCTGCTGCTCCTTGGGTGACTCGCTTCCTGCCGCTTCTGCTGTTGTCGCCTCTGTTGACGCTGCTGCGGCTTCACCACCGCCGGGGGCACCGGCCTGCTGCTGGTGCTTGCCGCCTAGGCCGACGTACTTGAGACCCGTCGAGAGACCACCGCCGCTGGCTTGGCCTTCCTGCCTCTGCGTGGGCAGCTCGTACGTCTTGACGACTTCACCGTCTTCATCTTCAACAATAATCTATGGACGGCGTTAGACCGGGTCAGGGACGGAGGTGCGGGGAAGACATACCGTAGTACCAAACTGGTAAGCCCGGGCGGGCTCGTGCTTTCGAGAGGCGGAGCCCTTGCCCTTGCGCTTCTCCATCTCGGAAGAGTACATGTCGCTGACCTTGCGACGGAATTCGCCAAACGGCCACCTGCTCCGGGAGGCCTGATCGGATTTGCCGGCCGTGACAGGCTGGGGAAGCTCTCCCTCCCCGTGCTTGGCGTGAGCCGCGGGCACCACCTCGATGACCTCGCCGTCCCGGTTCTCGATGACCATGTTGTCGCCCTCGTCGTAGAGGGTCACGGGGTCCATGGAACGGCGACGGCCACGCGAGGTCCCCTCGTCTTCGGGCGAGTCCTCTCCAGGCTCCTCTCCAGGCTTGGCGGTGTCGTCGTCCTGGGGCGAGGGTGTGCCGGCGACGGCATCATTCCCGTCGACGCCCTCTTCCTTGCGGCCGGAGCCGTCCTCCTCGTCCTTGGTCTCCTCCCCGTAGGGTAGGGACGTCTCGTGGTCGCGGTTGGGGTAGATGGCAGACTGGGAGATGGGGCCGCCAAAGTCCTCGTTCCCACTCCTGCGGGACCGGCGGCGCCTGGACACGAGGGACGAAGCGCGGCTGCCGACGCGGCCGCCGTCTTCGTCCTTGCGGCGGCGCAGGAGGCCGCCAGGCGGGGCGAGAGTACCGGGAGGGTAGGTGAGGCCCTTGTCAAACGACGAGTCGGACGTCTTAGCCTGAGAGCGCGAGATTGACGAGATGCGAGGCAGCCTGTTCATCCACGTGGGGCCGTCCTCGAGTCCCTGGGTGTACGACATGGTCAGAGACAGGGTGTTGATGCGCTTGCCGAGGGTGAAGACGGCGACGGACGAGCCGTGGACGAGGATGGACGATATCACGATGAAGGTGACGATGGGCCAGACGAGGTACAGCGTGTGGTAGTGCTCCGCGTCGGGCGAGGGCAGCACAGCCAGCGGGACGGGCTCCTCGTGCTCGAGCTGGGCGCGGGCCATGATGGCGACGAAGATGGCGCCGACGCCGATGGGGCCGAAGTGGCCGGCGAACAGGGCCTCTCGCCACGTCTTCAGATCGGGTATCAGCGGCTTGAGGGCCAGCATGATGGGGATGCGGCGGAAGAAGATGACGAGGATGGCTATGACGACCAAGCGCCAGACGCGCAGGCCTTCGACGCCGTTGTTGTACTGGTCCCAGGGGATGATGGTGCCCAGGTAGACGAAGTAGGTCAGGTTGAGCAGCAGGTCGATGACGTTGGACACGTGGGACTCCTCGGTCTTCTCGCCGAACCATCCGTCGTTGGAGAAGCCGACGCCGGCGGCGAAGCCGACCAGCAGGTCGTCGACGCCCAGTATGCTCCCGGCGCCGGCGCAGAACAGGGCGACGACGAAGTAGAAGACCAGGAAGCTCTCCCTGTCGATGAGCTCGTGCCTCTCGGCGAAGCGGATGCCGTGGCGGGCAATGTAGCCGACGAGGAAGCCGAAGACGGCGCCGAAGATGCACTCGTACAGGATGACGTAGCAGACAAAGTGCAGGGTGATGGGGCCGGCCTTGTTGTTGTACTGGATCAGGTACAGCGACAGGTAGATGAAGGGGAAGGCCATGCCGTCGTTGCAGCCGGACTCGGCCGACAGCAGGTCCCTCAGATGCTTGGGTACGCGCTTAGAGAACTTGCCCTTACCGACGACGGATGACGCGAGGACGGGGTCGGTGGCTGTGATGCAGGCCGCCACGACCAGCCCGTCGACCCAGCTGAAACCGGGTATCATCCACCACACGAACAGGCTGACGATCAGCCAGCCGAACATCATGACGGGGATCAGCAGGAACGCCACGGACCGCCAATGCCTCTCCATGTAGTAGCGGGGAAGCTCTACGCCGACGGCGAAGCACTGCACCACCAGGACGATGCGCGAGAACTCGATCGTGACGATGTCGGTAGACCCCCAGCTGGTCGGGTCGATGAGGTTGGCACCGTAAGGCCCGAAGATGACCCCGCACAGCGTCGCGACGGTGGCCTCGCCAATGTACATGCGCTCCTTGATGACGGACGAGCACAGCATGAAGAGGGAGGTGAAGCCGCCCAGGATGATGTACACCAAGTGCGGCTTCGTAACGTCTAGCTGTGACCACGCCATGATGGCGACGACAGCACTCGACCCGTATCGTCTTGAACCCTTCTTCTCTCCGACCGAGAGGGAGTACTACCACTACCAGCAAGTTGGGGTAGCAGTAGTATCCAATGAGCTTCGGGACTGCTCAAAATCGTCGCAGACGCGGTCGAAGGGGGAGCCGTCTCACCCGCCAGCCGGTGAAAGCGTGTACGTCGGATCTCTTCCAAGCGAATTGTGTTCTTCTGACCGCATGTATGAGCTGGTTCAACAGTGGTGGAGCAGAAACAACAAACAGATTGGTCTGTTGTTTGGTTGTTTGGGAACGGTGGGAAAAAAAATAAAAAAATAAGAAATAAAAATAAAAGAAGCCGAAGATAGTAGTGAGGCCCCACGTGACGCGTCAGCCGAATGTGTGTCTAGACTGGGCAAAAAAAAAAAAAAGTTCTGTCACGAACAAGGAGAGAAGAAAAAAAAGGATGGATGGATGTGCCAAGACGGAAAAACAAAAGAGGGAAAAGAAAAGAAGAGAAAGGAAAAGGTTGGACAGGACGTTTAGGGAAAATTAAAAGGTATCAAGCCAAGCAACGAGGTGCAACAGCAAACGAAGAGGGCGGGGGGATGAACAGCAGCAGCAGATACTCCACCCCCATGCAAAGGGCCATGGGACTCGGTCGAGGGGTTTGTTGACTTAAGAATCGACGCCACTCATGCGGGTCTCTTTAGCTTATCTTTAGTTCTTAATTGGGATACAAGATGAGGGGGAGGATGGATGCTGGGATTTCATCCGTGCTGGTATTGGTCACTGGGGGGTAAAAATGGGAGTACGAGTGTTTTGCAAGTTTCCTTGATGGTGGCAGTAGTTGTATTAGTAGTAGTAGCAGTAGTAGTAGTAGTTGTATTAGCAGCAGCAGCAGCAGTAGTAGTAGTAGTAGTAGTAGCAGTAGCAAGTAATAGTAGAATAGTAGTAAGTGATAGTAGTAAGTGATAGTAGTAAGTGATAGTAGTAAGTGATGGTAGTAAGTGATGGTAGAGATGGATATGCTTTGCCAATTGCCTTCCGTCTCTGTTCATATACATGAGTCCATCTCTTCCATCAGGGTTTTTTTTTGAATAAAAAAACTCGTCAGTCAGTGCTAATACTAGAAGAACAAATAACCACCCTTGTTCCTCGTACACCGACTACTCCGTATGCGTAGTGATAATAACAACAATATGGAGCAATTACGAGTATCCGACTATCCGTACGGAGCCGGCCCCATTTCTACTATAGTCTATGACTGAACCCATCCAATTGAGTCTCTATTCTACTTGTCCGTAAACCCTGCAACGTTTCCCCACGGGTTACGGATAAGAATGCGTGTGGCACTTGACCTGGGAGGGGGGGGGGGGGGGTGATCGGTCTCTTAACCCTCAAGTTCTCGGAGGACTTTTCAAGGTTCTGTCATTGTCTTACGCTTTCATGTCTTGTTTCTCTTTGTTTTCCTCGACATGCATAGTACGGAGTACAGTACGGAGTATTACTAGCAGTACCGTCATACAAGTCAAGAGTAACTTACTAGTATGTATGACTAAGCTACTCGTACTCTACTACACCGTCCTATCTCATCGAGTAGTATCTTTGTTTTGCCCCCGTACATATATATATATATTACTCGTATTAATATCCACCAAGAAGAAGAAATTTCCCAAGGTAAGATTTAGAGATGCACACCCCTTCGGTACTATATTCGCACATGTAGAGGAGTTTGTTCAACCGGCACATCACCGCCCATACAGCATGACACTCCCAGTCACCCAACCCAACACACATGCCTCTGAGACGATGACCAATGCTGTCCATCCATATCTCGATTCTCTTTCCTTTCCCGATTTCGCTTCTGTGTCGTCGTCGTCATCATCATCATCGTCGTCGTCGCCCTTCTTGCTATCCCCGTCACCGTCGTCAACCTTGCTCTTGACCTCTTGGTCAAACCTCCCAACCACGTTCCCCGCAGGGAAATACTCGCAGACAAGGTACCAGCCCTGCCGTGACCCGCACAGCCGCCTCGCACAACCGACATCGGTCGTATCCTTCCAGACGAGCTGCGTGAAATGGCCCGTCTTCTCCGTGAACCCTTGGCCCTGCGTGTACTCTTGCCCCTCGTCGCCCCAGGCCTCGACGCTCTCCCTCGCGCTCCCGTATCCTATGGCTAGGTTCTCTCCGTACGGGCCGCCCGAATGCTCAGGCTTGCATCCGTCTCTGTCACCGTCTTCTTCTTCCTCTTCTCCGCCTCGCGTCTCTCCGTCTGCTCCACCGCTGGTCTCGCCGTCTCGCTTCGTCGCCTTGCCGCTGCTGTCCAGGTACCGCGCCGCATAGTCGGACAGGGTCGAGTTCCACGCCAAGTTCGCCGCCTGGTACTGTTCCCGGTACGTGTTTGTAGCATCGAGGACGGCGGAGGTGAAGGCTTTCCAGTCCGTCCACTGGCGCTGTGATGGGTCATCGTCGGTGGGCAGGGAGGCCGGTGCCGTGATCGTCTGGTCAGGACTTGACGGTCTGCTGGCTGCTAGGGGTATCATCATGGCGATGACCAGACGCCTCATTCCTGCCAGATGACTGACTCTCTTGAGAGAATTCCGAAAGGCACTGGAGAGATGACGTTTTGATAGAGGGGGAGGGGGGGAGGGAGAGCACTGTGGAGAGAGCACTGCCTTCTGCGGAGCTGATCTTTCTTCTTTATTTTCTGGCACGACTCTGTGCGAGCTGAAATGCATCGGTGGACAAAGACTGGCGGCATCGCCATGCCCTCCTTTGTTCCATGTCTAATGATATATAGCTGCTCATTTCGGCATTGGCCATCTTCACGGTCGAAAAAGATTGTTTCATCCTCGTGGACAGGTTTGCCTCTCGGCTCGGCACGGTCGAATGTTGGGTCGTTACGCTCTTGGCCGCGACCCGTGGTCGGCGCCTAAGTACGGTGTCGTACGTACCGTGCGCATGTATGGCTCTGGTGAGGTGAGAGCCACGAGAGTCCCCCTTTCCCCTCTCTTCTCCTTCTCCTCCTTCTCTCCTTTCTCCCCCAAGCTGGGCGGAATATTCGGCAAAACTTGCAGCACATGTTTTTGGGACTTAGCATATGTTTGCAAGCCGACGTTCATTCCCCAGTCTGACGATGGCGTCAAGGACAGAGTCCAATTTGACTACCCTACACATCGACCTCCGTGCTTCCAGTGGGCGACAACACACGATGATTCGTAGACGCCGGTATAATGGTCTCTACCTATGTGCACTTCCTGGGTCGATATGCGTGTGTCATATCCTTATTCAATTCAGGGAAAGGAAATCTATCTATCAAGATAATTACACTTGTGCGTGTGGCAGCAGCCCTCGACTGCTTAGTCATGCAATTTAGATGCCACATCCGGAAATCATCAAGCAAAGCCGTTAACTCCTAGACTCGCTTCTTTGGGGGTGGGGATTGCAGCGGTTTTGAGACGTCAAGCGTAGCTTCCGGACTTGCTTACCCTTTCTTTGCCGGTATGGCCGACAATGTTTTCTTCAGCTAGACAACTTCACCCTTCTCCAACGGTTGGGCTACAAGCTCATGCCCAATCGAAAGCCCTTTCTATAAGTCCTCGGGCCAAGAACACCGCAACTGAAAGGGGTATCAACTGCCTCCGACTCGGGGAGCCTCAACTCCGCGAGCCATGAAACATGGACATACCAGTCCACCATGACATCAGTGGGTTGTCTATCCATCGTATTGTGTGTGTCGCAAGCAGGGATAGATACTATACTATTATAGCGCGAGGCTAGGATTGAAACAACAAGTCAGGCCGTACTATTGAGCCAGATGACGAGCCCTGTCCAGGTGGTAAGCCGGCAAGATAAGAATGAGTCCGGCCACAAGGGTACGTCATATTTTGGCATTTCCCGTCTTCTCTCACCCGCTCAGAATTGATGTGAAATTGGAAGGAGAAGCCTATTCTTTCTGTCCTCGTGAAGAAGAGAGTGCGTGTACCGAGGCTGACTCCGAGACATCTTCCACCGGGAAATACGGACGTGACCAGTAATAGTCCGTGCACTGACCTACACGAGTAATTTCACGAGTGTAGTCAGGAAGGGAGAGAGACAAAGCGATCTTACCCCGGACTCAATCAATCGTTGGTCAATGGCCATCCTTTCATCCTTGGTATGTACGAGTATGTGAGTGCCCCATGACGCTTTACCTTGACTGGGTAACTTCCCCCTTCCCTCCTTCTAGCTCGATCCTTCCTTTCTGAAATTAAAACCATAGGTCACTGGCTGATTCCTGGACTGTGAGCTCACAGTGTCTCGTGACACCATAGAAATGGAAATGTGGTGTTTTCTAAAGACTGTTCGACGTCTCGTGGACTAGTGGCGTTGCATGTTGCGAACTGAAGCTCTTGATATCCTTTATTCTGGTGTGGGATCTGGGCACTCTTGCTGTCTGATGCGGGGATCAGCAACGTTACGGGAGGAACGCAAGGGAATAACAGACTATCATGAAGTACCAAGACACAATGAAATAATGCCGGTGTGTATTCTTCCAATGCACAGCCAAGCCACTCAGAAGGTAGGAGGATAACATGTATGCATATATCGGGGAAGAATCATGTCTGTTCCTTTGTGGGATTCCACCCTTTCATGGCTCAATTCCATCTATATATATCTATATATATATCCTACGAGAGTTGTTCGCAGCTGTGGCCCCTTTCCATCGGACAAATGCTCTGAAGAATAGAGAAACAAGGGGACAACAGAGGGTAGAAGTGTAGATGGAGAGGTGGACACTGTCGGTAGACCGGCAGGGAGGCCGGTAGAGACGGAGAAGGCAGAGGGAGAAGATGGCCGACGAGGCCCAACGTGAAGCGTCCAAGAGTCCATAGAGCAGACAAGATGGCCAGCTATACGCGGCGACGGTCCAGGTAATCATGCTGTATGTTCCGAATCCAGGAGGGAGGACCTAGAAAGAATCCTCGGCTCGCGTATGATGGGTATTTGATGCCACCTACTCGTACTAGTTAGTACTCCATAGCATCACTACCTGTATACGGTAGGCAGGAATCGCTATTGCCATCGCTTAGCCAGGCCCACACAGCCCGTCCGCGTCCTCCAGACCAACCAGAAAAGCCGGCGTCGAGTAGCATTCGTATGATGTAATGTGGTTGGAAGAGCACATGGCCATGACTGTGGCTGGCACAAAGCAGAGTACTCCAGGGGGTGGAAAGATGGGTGCCTGGGGCGTCCATGTTCGCGCTCCAGGACTGCGACACACGCACTTGCTCCCGTGCACGTATTTTCTCGGTACCGAGGAGTGATACTGCAGTCTACTCGTACGTACCGTACCGTCACTGGCTTGCTTGATACATCATACGAGAGACCGGGGATTGCGGGTAGCGGTGCAATTGCTTCCCCATGTCCGGGGGTTTACCCCATCCATGTCCGGGGTTCCGTTCGCTTACCCCAGAGAAGATGAGTCGTAATTAAAAAGACACTGTACCCCGTAGAAACATACGAGTACAGTACGTAAAATCCATGGCTTAATAAACATTGGTGGTAATAGTTGATCACTTTTGTAAAGTCATCCTCGGCAAAACTCAAGGTGTCCGTCCCGTCATTTCTCTGATCGGATTTCTCCGTCAACATAATGGTTCTTAACGTCGGTTGGCTGAGAAATCTGGTTAACAGCACAGTGCTCGACTGTTTTACCTATGCGTTTCAGTTCCTACAGCATTGTCAGTACTCTCTCCATGCGTGTGTGTGTATGTGTGTATGTGTGTATGTGTGTATGTGTGTATGTGTGTATGTGTGTATGTGTGTATGTGTGTGTGTGTTGGTCCCCGAAATGCAACACCAAGCGGCAACAAGTTGATTCTGATAAATCCCGTAGGTATCCGTTAAAGCACCTGACTCTGTAATACTCGTACTATGTAGCAGTGGAACCAGCTACGAGGTCAAACTTGACCCCCGTTGTTACAGCAGAGAGAACCAATGGGAGACGCCTTTTTAGTACACTCTCGACCGTCATTAATACAAAAACACCAGAAAGGATATTCCGCGCGCGCGTGTGGGTATGGGGCCGCTGCCGATTGTGCGCGCAGCGCCCCAGCAGGGTCTCTGATGGATCATCGCTGCGAGTGGTCAGTGTGACAAGGACAAGGGAACCAACCATGAGATCGGCAAGAGTGCTAGTGGGAATAGGACATATTGGAGAAGAGGTCTCAAAGGGGGAGGGAGGGGGGGGGGGGGGGGGGGGGGGGCTGGCTTTCTGGTATGTAAAATCCTATAGTTGAAGGGTCTTGATGGAACAGTTGGACTGTATGCGTCCCTGATATCCAAGCTGCCATTATAACCAGGCAAGGAAATAGACTAAGGAGAAGACAGAATCATCCGGACATTGCCACATACATCGTGTGTTTCCACTCTCCTTACATTACCATTCGTATAGTTGGAAAAAAATAAAGTGCGCGGTTTTGGTGCCGGGCGTTATTCGCCCGGGAAGACCTTCTCCAGTGCCCAGACTATTACTCAACTGCCGTCCACCCTTTTCCTATTCGACGCTGATTTCTCACTATTATATCCTTCATCCAATAATGCCAAGAGGGTACATGAAATGATCAGTTGCTTAGGTGGAGACCAGGTTGAGCATTGGGTTGCAGCAGCAGCAGCAGCAGCAGCAGCAGCAGCATCGCCATCGTTACCAATTTACAAGATGAACTCTTTCCCTTTTACTCGGGCATAGTCTCGGCTATGTCCGTGATGCGACCTCGGAGCAAGCAATGCTTCCTTTCTTCCCCTGTTTTCCTTTCTCTCGATCTGCTTCCTGACAGAAAGCAAGAGTCGGCATGGGGAAAACCTTACGATGTTAATGTTTCCACCTGTAACATAAGACGAATGGAGAGGAAGAGGAAGAGGAAGAAGAAAAAGAGAGTGGCGTCGTACATGTACGTCTGGGATTTTGCATTCTTCAACTTTTTGCCTCTTCCCTGTCTGTCCTGGCCTCATTGTCGATCTCTCATTTCTTTGTAACAAGCTTTCATAAAATGTAATACGTCGTAGAGTCAACCTGACATGCCTTTTCAACCCTCGAGATCTTATATTATTCATGCAGACGAGATACATACGACTCTACAAGCTGGAAAGGCAATGGCAAAATGGCAAAATGGCAAATGGCAAAGGGCAAAGGGCAACTACTATGGAGTATTATTACAAGTAAAAGAAACAGGGCCAAGGAAAAGGGATACGTCACACGGTCATGTGGTCAGAGAACCAAGAGTCCTAGACAGTTTTAAATTTTTTTCTTCTTTCCGACGGGACAGCCGTACGGAAAAAGGTATGTACATGGGTCTGTGTATTACGTAGAAAGTCGAGCACGAATACCAAGTATTATTACGGGGTAAAGAAGAAAACAAAAGGTACAACAGCTGCCGCAAGCATCCCGGAACGGTGGGACCCGCAGAAACGGGTGTGGTAGGTAGAGTGGCTAAGATGGTAGAAGTGTGACTCAAAGCATCGATTTGTGCAGAAGCGTGCGTCAACTCGAATCCACCACAGTGTGGTTCTGGCGGCAAGTACGGCT